TCACCTCTTTTTTAAAGGAGAGAATGCCTTCCAAAGCAACATTTACTTTTCAGGGCACATTGTGTGTTTTTTAAATCCTCCTTTGATGTTTCTTGGTCTACTTTGTTTTTAAAAGCTCACCAGAAATCAAAAAGGATTAGCAGGTCATGATCCTCCAAGCTACCTGGTATAGATCAGCCCAGGAAAGGACAGAAATGGAGTTTAGCTAGCAAAGAAAAAATGCTTGCCTGAAGCAGTTTGAAGAACTTTTTCTGAGGCACAAATTAATTAAAACTGCTTTGGTATTTTGTTTTCTATTTATAATCATTATCATTTAAAGAATAAATAAGAAAAGTAGAAAGCAGAATATAGGATATTTCACAGATCATAACAAGCAAATATTAATATTAATGTGTATTAAATATCTTCAACTATGCCAGTAATATTTCATACAACAAGCAGTTTTTTCCACTCATCCTTAAAAGAAAAACTTTCCTGAACCAAAGTATACTTACCACTTTTTTTAAGAACTTGAATTAATATTTTCTTAAAAGTAGTGATTGCTATTATGACATTACAGAGTAGAAGTAGAGGAAGTCTTGAAAGTGATATTAAAAAAAGATCTGGATTCCTACTTCCTCCAGAATTCAGTGCTCTAAATGTGGTATCTGAGCAAACACCAGCTCTTGACCTCAAATCTATATTCTTCCCTGAGGTTCGTCCTCTAGGATAAGGACTGCTGTGTAGCAGTTAAATACAAAACAAACCTGAAATTTGTACCTTCTGAGGTTTGGTTCTGACCAGCCTTTGAAACAAGATTGCTTTCAGTCCATCGGTTATTTCAGCACTTGACATCACCCCCACATAAAACAAGGCAAATGGCCAATTAGCTAACTGGAACTTTTCCAGTTCAAAATGGTGCCAAAATGAATGAAGATGAAGTGGCGTAGAAAAAAAAAAAGAGTTTAAATTGGCTGAACAGTCAGCTCTCTATGGGAAGCTGAAAATAGAAATCAGTTCATGGAACTCAGGAGCTTCACTATCTTCTATTTGGGGAAGATCAAACTTCGGCATTTGCAAGTTAAACAGGGATCCCCAAGGCTTCTAGAGAGTACTTTATAAAAAGAGGTTTTATACAGGATCTGTGTATTTTGCAAATAAAACTGCAGCACATTAAATTCTAATCACATTCTATTCATAGCATCTGAAATCAGAGTATAAATTTGCTTCCTACAGATAATTATCTGGATTGGAGTTTTAATCTTATATGTATGCCATTACCCCTATGCAAACATGGATAACTTTTGGCTTTTTCTTTTCAGCAACATTCAGCTATTTTGACATTTTAAGTGGTTATGAGTTGGTTTTAAATAAAGACAGCCTAAAGAAATCAGATTATATGTTAAGCAGTAGTATTTGAACTGAGAAAGAAAAGAATACAGCACTGTAAAATAACATCTTTGCTTGGGAAATAATGTGCAAATTCCAGAAAGAAAAGTAGTTAATCATGCCAGCTTTGTAAATACAACTTCTATAAAAGTCAATGCTGCTTTAAATACATCTATCAGGCCCCTCATACAAACTGCTAAGCTGCAACAGAAATGCATGTAACTATTCTAAATAGGAAAAATTCCCGTGCAGAAAATCTCCCATTATTATAAACTTGTTATGCTACAGAACAGCACTTCAATCTTCTGTCAAAACATTAGCAGCACAGTACAGCCCAAGCTACATATACCTATGTTTACCTACTAAACAATACTCTCTACTATGACTTTGTAAAACTGTCAAAAACATCATGAAGCAAAGGTTATAAATCTTTGTGGAAAAGCAACCATATTCCTGATATAAAATACATTTTAAAAGGTATAAAAAGTACAACTGCAATTTATCTAAATTGCCATTCTCAAAAAAAAAAAAAAAAAAAAAAAAAAAAAAACATCAGAATAACCAGCTTCAAAGATTACTATGATATTTTTCTTTACAAAATTATTATAAATTTTGGATATCAGGCTATCAGGTGCACCTGCTGACAAGCAAATTAGCTCTGCATTTAAAAGACACTACCTGAAGCAAAAGCCCTTTTCTTCCAGTGAAAATCAAGCTGTGATTTAAAGAAATGGGGGTTTCAGATGCCTAATGATGCAGATAGATAGAACTGACAAGTATCAAATTCCTCAAATGAGCACATTTCACATAATTTGGTAGTGACCTTGTATGTGTCTAAACTTTAAAAAGAAAAGCTAGCCTGGTTAAAAAGCAGCTTCACGTGTTTTTATGACTTTTATGAACTGTCAAAAGAACAATGTATTCAGAGAGATTATGAATTCATCACAGGTTCTGGCACTCAGTGTCTGGTCGCAAGGGAAAACAACTTCACACTGTTGTTTGTAAAACAGATTCAATTTGACTCCACCAAACTTTAGAACCACAGAAGACAAGAAGTTGCATGAGTCTAATAATGCTTCAGATCCATGTTTTAAAAGCACTGATACTCAGCCATGTAGCCAGACACAATGAGCCTACTGGTATCCACCACATCACAGAGACTGACCTCAGAAAGGAGCTGAACTTAGCAACAACCTTTAGCTGCAGAGCTGTTACTGAAATGATTAGTTACAACAGCTCTGACCAGGCAGATCACTTCACCAGTGTGCATCTGTGTAAGATCAGGGCCTGAACATGTTTCTTCCCTTCATCTGGCCTCAGCTTCAGGCAAAAACATGTTTCACTTGTCCCAGCTCACTCCCATGTCAGTGGACATTAAGCACATGTCGCCTCATGTTTGGAGAGCATTGCATTTTTTTACCTCATAACTGTTTGCTGAATTGCCTTCCACCAGTCCTCACCTTGGAAAAAACTTTTTAAGTGCATTAACATGGCAAAATTCATCTCTACTATACATGAATCACATGAATCAATAGTGGTGGGACATTACTTACCGAAGGCAACCAGACCCAGAGTCCTTACGGTCTTTCTCTAAGCAGATTTGTGTCTATCCCTCCAGTCACCAGAGCCCTTGCCTTCCCTCCACAACACTGTCTATTCCCTCTCTCCATACCCCTTAATCCTCCAGAATCATCTCTAACCTTTCTGCTCCACCTGGAGGAACTTGTGCCATAGCACCAGCAACAGCAGTGCTGAATCTTCGGCCATAGCTGCTGCAGCACTTCAAAGGCAGCTACCACAGCCAAGGATTTAGACTGCAGCTGGAAACTGAAGGCTCAAGGTGGGGTCCCCAGGGCTGAGCAAAAAAAAAGCAAAGCTCATTTGTAAGGATTAAAAGGCGGACAGGTAATGGATCTCTGTGGGCAGGAAGGAGAGGGAAAAGCAGAGAGAGTGGAAGTCAGTATACAATACAAAAAGCTGAGGAGGTTAAGAGGGGCAGCAAAAGGAGGGGCTGAGGGCACAGAAGAGAGGAGATTCCTGGTTAGTGTAAATAATATACATGTATGTTAGGGAGGAAGAATGAGGGCAGTCTGGAAACATAAACAAAAATATCTTCAGAGAAGGTAGGCCTTTAACATAGCAGTTGGTGAAAAGATCAAGAGGAATAAAATACAAAAGGATGTACAAGTCAAAGACAGCTAGAAAAATAGGCACTGAGAATAAAAAACTGTGATGAGACCAAGAAATAAAATCCATCTGTAAAACAGCTTGTACTGGGAAACACATAACATCTTTCATACTGCAGGATACCCAAAATTTTTTATTATTCAAGGTGATAAGTGACTCTGCATATGAAGTTACAAAAAACATTTTCTTTTGAAAAATAATATTACAGAAATGTTTAAAAGAAAAAAAACTTAAACAACCCAAGAAGTCGGGTGTTTAAGACCATGCTACATATTACTTGGGAAGCAGGACCATGAAGATGATACACATGGACTAGAGAAAGACCACAGCCACCTGCCTGAGCTACATTGTGCTCAGCTTCTCAGAAGGGGCAGTTCTTGTCAATATTTGAACATATGAGCAGAGCTGAGGCCACAAACACACCAAGAAATGTAAGGATTTTAAAACACTTTCCACCTGCCTTGGAGACCATAAACTTGTGAAGCGAATAACTATTATGAAAATCTCTTTGAAGAGAAGTTCTCATCTGGTGGTAGTGGAAGAGAGTAATCCTCACAACTGCAGTTAACTAGACAGTAAAGCGATGCATTGGGACACAAATCCCATGGGAAGCAGCAAGAATTCAGAATAGAATAAATAATTTACTGCAAATCACACCTACCTTAGTGTAGTGTAATTTCTCAGTATCTCAGCTTCTTAGAATTTCCCACATCTGAATGCTAAACAATACACACTAAGTCATATCACAGAGTTGTACAATTATGTGTTAAGCTAATAAACAGGTTTTTTTGCCATCTGCAATATTTTTCAACAGTTAAAATAGTTTAGCTATTTTGTTAAACAACTAATAGTTTAATTATTCCAACAAATAAGCACTTGCTTGAACAGCTTAATAGTAACATTCACTTGAAGAACCTCAAAATTTCCCCTTGTGATATACTAGCCTCCTTCATAGCCTCATTACTTTCTGAATCTCCAAATGTTTCCTTGTAGTTATTAGAAAACACATTCTAGAGTTTAAACAGGAAAAGATTTCTAGTTTGGGCATTGAGATGGCTTAATTTTTTTTCTCTCCTTAGCTTTCTGTTCAGATGTTCCAGCAGAGAACTGTGTGCACTGCTGGAAAAGCAACAGGGAGAAGTGTGAAGATCACAGAGCACACAGCTTTTTATTTGCCATTTATTCTAAATTCAAAAGAAAAGATTACCAAGCCAAAAGTCATTCTGTTAGTTATTTAAAGTGGCTGATGCTAATTGATCTATCAACAGTTTGTAATGCATGTTGAATATATCACTCATCATTTCCAGACCAAACTGTTGACTGAGATTCATCCATATTCATAAAGACATATAAGCCTATCTATTAGTGCAAGAAGTAATGCTGATGTGGTAATAAAAATACACAAAAACACTAGCATTTTCCATGGAGACAATTTGAGACTTCAGAGAAGTAACTATTTTTATAATAACAGCTTTATTTAAAGCACTGTTTCTCACTGGATACAACTTATACATTTTGTGCTAAGTGTATATATATTAATTGAACACTTTCAAAATTATCCCTAGATAAAATATATATTATATGTTTAAAATTATTCCAACAACAATTATTCCAAATTCCAAGTAACATTTTGCTGAGTGTTAGTTCAAATAAATGGAGGAAAAAAATTAAAAATGCTTTGGCAAAATACCCTTCCACGGTGATGTCTTTAAAAGCATTTTGAATGCAGGGCTTCCTCATCTATTTTTATTCTGATATCAGTCAAACAGAGTGGAGGAAACATAAACACAGTTATACAGTTTCATTTAAATATAATTTTTAAGAATATAGACAGAAATTTTTCAAGTGTGTGGTCTCATGTTTGAATTTGAGCCAGTCAAAAAACTGCCTGCTGCTTCGTGATGGTCAATGGTACAACATGTTTCTGAAACCTCTAATGGCATTGTTGTGCTGGTCCCTGTCAAAACAAAGTTCCTGGTGTCCCAGAGCCTGCATCAAGGCAGGAGCACTGCAAAGGTACCAAGCCAGAGGAGAGCAGGGTGGTCACTGAACTGCACACATCGAGCTCCTGGAAGGATTAACAGTTCTTGTCACGGGCTCCTGACTGTAGTTGACAATATCTGCCTTCACCACTCTCTGTCATAAAAGAAAACACAGTAACAATCAGAAAATAGAACTTCTTGCTGGCAAAGCATTCAACAGATTTTTACTGAATACAAGGGGAAAAATAACAAACAAACCAGTATTTTTTATCTCTACCTTACAGGAAACCTTATCAGGTGCTAAGTCTCATTATAATTCTAGGTTTATTCAGGCTAAGCAGAAGCAAGTGCCTTGGTAGGTTATCACAACACTACAAAAGGAGTAGAATTTTCTTGCTAAAGCAGTGAATACAGTTTTACTTCCATGAAAATTTTTCTGTGTCAGAGTAATAAAAGAGAATTTATTTGCAAAAGTTGTGCCATTCATTCTTTAATAATAACTGCCTAAATTGTAACTGGAAATTGTACCTAAGTCTTTTTGTCTTTAGTCCAAGCATTTCATCAGAAAATATGGACAGAATTCAAACCAAATTTTAAATACAGCCATATTTTTAAAAAGCTTTGATACGTATGCTGGCTAAAGATAACATTAACATAAAAAGAAGCTCTGCATACTATATTTCTTCTCTAATACAGATCTAACAGATATTACGCTATTTACAAAGCACATGATGACTGATGCTTTCTCCTACATGAGACAGAAATGTAAAATTTTGTATCCATTTCCATCTGAGACAGCTATGCAATATTTTGAATCTATAGCACTGAATACAGTAACATAAAGAATTTCAAAGTTTCTACAAACTATTTGATTATTAGAAACACTATGTAATTAATTGTACACAACGTTCCAAAATAATATGTTGAGTATTACAAGTACTTGCACGTACAAAACACAATCTTCCAAAAGAACTTACTTTAACAGTTGTTACTTCATGTAAAAGCAATGCAGCTTATAAAAGAGAAACAAACCAAGTTTTCCATCAATACCTGAACTACTGCATTGAGCAGACTTTGCTCTGGCAGTTGGAAGTGTGATGTTGGTTATCTTCTTCAGGATATTTCACTAGTTCTGCCCTGACAACATTCTGTTAACCATGTATCAACATGATGGATAGAGGGCAAGGAGAAGAATGTAAAAAGAAAAGAGAAGGAAAACAATGGAGAGATTAATCAGTAGTTGAAAAGAATGAATGGATAACATAAGATTATGCAGGAGCAAAATGAAAGTGCATTTTCAGGCCTTAGGCAGATATAAGAGCAACACGTCTGGCTGAAAGCAGCACCCTCAGCACCAGGGCTGCTAGGCGAGCTTTCTCCAGAAAATGCCCTCTCAAAGCACCAAAGTGAAAGGCTCATACATGCAATCAGCAAAAGTGTATTAAAGCTAGAGAAGGGACAGAATAAAAAGACAGGGAATTCAGGGGAAGAAAAGATGACAGTGGCCTATTCCTCCTCAAGTCAAAGATACTTAAATACTACATTATCAGCCTGTAACAAGTGCATTAGCTGCACACATGCATCTTTCCCATCACATAACTATCCCATTACACCTAAATATTTAATCCAAAAGCAGTGACCAAATTAACAACCTCATATCAAAATGCTCACAGTTTTGATTTTTCTTTGCTTCATTTAAAAATCAAAAGTTCCCATTTTTTCCCTTAAAGACAAACAAACAAAACTGTTTTCTCATTATTAATACAGGTAATGGATACAGGGTTCTCATTATTAATACAGGGTCAATACAGGGCTCATGCAAAAGGAAGTAAAATTCATGGAACAATTTCAGCAAAGAAGCAGCAAGTAGAGGTAAGTCTGCTATGAAGGATACCCTAAACCAGTTTAATATTTTTCCTAAATACTTCAACTTTCCTTCAATATATTTTCAAGGTTATAATGAATTAATAAATAATTAAATTATATTATTTTAAGGGAAACAATATATAAACTGGATTAGGAATATATAAACAGTATACATTAAAGATTACCTCTGTAAATAAACCTGTATGTCAAACAAGCAACAATAATTGAATAGGCTGGCAAAGGACCTGGATTTATTAGCTGCTGAAGTACTCTTCTTGAGCTTAATTCATCACATTCATATTATCTTATCTAGTGGACAACACTCATGATTTACTGGACTCCTGGCCTGATGTTATCAAGAGAAAGGTTACCAAATCCCATGTAGAGCAGTAGTAGGAGTTTTAGCATTAAACAGAATTATCTGACCTCACAGGACCTAGTTTCTTCATACCAATATTTTGACTAGAGCTGAAGGGCAAAAAAAAACCCAAAAGTCCTGCAGTCAGTAGGCAATTAATTGTTCCTCAAACATTGGTCTAAATCCCATCCTGTAAACACAGGCAGATTAGTGACCTATGCTTAGTTACACTGCAGCAAAAAACTAATGATCATAAATTACTTGGATTTTCTAATGGAATTTCATCCAAATAAGAGTTTAAAAATATCACTGCAACATTACTTTCATTAACTTTTTTGGTAATTTAAAACTTGGGCCTCTGCATCAGATTCTACATCAAGTGTATCATTGCCATGGCTCAAATCAACATCAATAGCGAAAAATAACCTTTTCTTGGTCCAGGTGCTCTGTATTCCAGATCTGACTTATCTGCCAAACACTTTATTGTACAAAGCTGGCACACACACACTGGTCTCCTGAACTGGTGTTTAGTTAGAGAGAAAACTACACATCACTTACAAAAATGCTAGCTCTTGCCAGTGCCAAGGAACAAAGCTGTTACCCCATGCAGTTTTTACACTACGGTTGAAAGTAAAAAAATACAGAAAGAAAAACATTTGATTAATAAAGGAGCTATTTCCTCACATTTCATCAGACCCTTGCAATTTAAAAGGGAGAGTATTTTGAGGACTGAAAATAAGTCAGAATCTGCAATTTCATTATTTTGGAACTGTTCTATTTCAAAAAACATGCTCTACTTTCCAGTCACGCATGAAGAGTAATCTAGTTCTTTGTTTCACCACAGTTTTGTCCAAATAAAGGTTTGATTAACAGTCATCTCAGCATGTTAACAGACAAGGTTTAGTAGCTCTAGCTGAGATAGTTTAAAGACTTACCACCCCCAAATGTCTGTCCTATTCCTCTGCTGGAGGTCATTGCTGCCAAAGGAGAGCTGATGGAATGTAACGTGGACTTGCACCTCATCCACTTCAGCACAGTCTGGCAGCTTCTCTTTAAAACAACTTTCAGCAGCAGTTTAAGCTAAGCTGCTCAACTTCACCCTGATGTGGCCAAAGCACATGATCACCTTCCATGTTCTGATTCTGATGTGGGAGCAATAGGTTCCAACAAAAAGGCAGCAGCAAATAGCTTGGGCTGCATTAATATCTTAAACTGCTGCAGCTGTTTTCTGAAACAATGCAGAGTAAATATAATTCAATCTCTAAGGCTTGTTCTTCCAGTCAATTAACAGAAGTTGTGCTGCTAATTTGAAGGCAACCAAGAACCTCATATACTTTTCACAAGAGCATCTGCAGTTCTGCTACTGATCAAAGCTCAAAAGTCATGAGCCAAACCCCACAAATTCATACAAGATAAAATACTATGTTTGGGATTCCTATGACTTATTTGCATCCACCTATAAGTCACATCTGAGATCTTCATAGACTGTAACAATCATAACTGACTCTAAACACAAGAAGTAAGATCTTCAGGCACAAAATCAAGCACTAGAAATAATTTTAAAGTGTATTCTCAATACTAGACAACCAAAAATACAAATATAGCATTTAACTGTTGGCATTTTACACAAATTCAATACTTAATCTTATATTTTGCTACTGCCTAGATTGAATGAACATATCTGATGTTCTCTGACAAATGGATTCAAGCAGGAACCATCTCAGTTTTCAAAATAAGGAAATCTCACATTATACAAAATATGGAAAATTCAAATTAATCCAGTGTATAAATAGTGCACATTTGTAAAAACCAAAGGCCTTATTTAAAGATTGAATCCAAGCCAACACTTGTATACTTTATGGATGAGTCACATTTACTATTGTCTTATATTTAATAGATTCTTTATAGCATTTATCTAGCATCTGTTTATCCACTGATCCAATTTTATAGCCCAGTAGCTAGAGTATTCAATGCCTAAAAACTTTAAGGAACACACATCATATAATTGTCCCACAAATTAAGGAAGACACATGCCCATTTTAGAGATGAAAGAGGAAAAAACTCCCACCACCATCTGTGATACAAGAGTCTGTGGTAAAACAGAAACCTGATAATGGCATCATCCTCTAACACCACCTCCTTCCAGCCAAGAGACCAGCTCCGTGCGTTTGGCAAACATCATCCACACATCACTTCAATTAGGCTTTTCTACTGCAGACAAATGAATTTCTCTCAAGAGAATTTATCTTCCCAAGGATATGAAGGTTCAAGATTTCACTCTCCAGATTATGAAGAGACTTTCCCTTTTCTATTCTTATGAAGTAATGGGGGTATTTGGTTCCATACAACAGTGAGCCTTAAGATACAGCTAACAGACATTCCAACACAATTCTCATTAGGAAAACTCTTAGAATCCTTTCAAAATAACCCTCTCAAATGGAGCAAAGGTTTTACTGGTAACAAAGACCTATTGCTTTTTTGGAGTAGTTTTAAAATATGCTCCATTAACAGAACTTTGCAAATTAAGTATCTCACACTCTTTAGCTACACACACACTGTTGCACCACATAGTGACTTCTGCTGTACCAGAAAGGCAACAGTGAAGTTTCTTTCCTGTCCAAATTAATTTACTGGCTTTATTTCTTCTTTTGTTGGGTTTGGGGTTTTTGTTTGTTTGTTTGTTTGTTTTTTTGTGAGTGGTGGTGGTTTTTCAGAGATATTTTTTTACCTTTTTTTTTGATAATTAGAGCCTGGATTCACATCAATAGTAATACATGCCACAGTATTTAATTTATGCAAATTAACTATTTATAGACTATTGATAATGCAACGTGTGTAATATCAACTGAGCCGTATATTGCATATTCCATTGATCTACTCAACAAAATTAAAAGCTAATCACAATACTAAAGTAGAAGGAAGCCTATTTAAATCTGATACCAGTTTGACATAATTATGTACTCTTGACCTGGGGCTATACAGAGCTTCCTACTTTAAAGACAACCTATAACGATGCCCTTTCTTTAGAATTATACAGCTTTCCCCATAACCCTATTATAAGTCTCCTTTGAATTTAAGGTATGTACACACCTTTCTACAATCTTACACTTGAGTTACAGAACACCACTCAGAGCACAGAGAGGTCTAAGACTGATATTCCAGTGCTAGCTAAACAAGCAAAGAAAAATTTAAGAACTCTGTGTGCTCAATTATTTAGCACAAATAATCACAGAGCTCAAAATAATAGATGGATGGTGCCTTAGTAGTAAAAGAACATTTAAAAGACACACTTAGTATTTCTCTGCCTATAAATTACAGCTTTTTAAAACTAATTTGTTATTAAGTATGCTCTGTAAGTTTATTTTACAATTTTACTGTTTGCAATACAGTTTTCTAGTTAACCACTTCAACACAGATTGCAAACACTGCTGTGGCAAAGCACTTTCAGAAATTACATATTTATTGTATATTTCAAAAAGAAGGACACCAAGCTGTACATTAGAAATGCTTTGCCACTTATTTGAAAAAAACTTATTGACTTATTTTGTGGTACTTATTTAACACTGGTATTGAAAAGCAGATCATGTTACACCATAGAACAGAAACATTTGGGTTCACTAAGTAAATTTAAATAACTGTAATCTCAAATGTCATTACACAGAGTTGCCTCAGTAGTATAATCTTTCTTTTTGAGGTTTCTGAAATTGGGTTGTAGAAAAATTTTTCAGTTTAAACCCATGCATATAATATAATTTATATCTTCCATGCTACCTGCATATGCACACATATTTAATTTCTAAACTAATCTTAAGTGCTATTGTTAAATAAACATCCTTAGAACTAAAGTTTTTTCTTCATTTTTGGATATGTTTTTCTTGTTTCAGAGATTTGATCATGACAGATAAGTAAGGAATTATCATATTTCAAAAAGCTGTTGTGAAATCGAATATTTATCTTCAGAACAACAGAGGAAGATTTATTTAAAGAACAGTTATAAATGCACAAGATCACTTTTAATACTAAATAAAATACTAAAAAAATCCATGTATTTGTGGAAAATCACCTGTGATTGTTCCAATTCTGCTTTGTTTAATTTGATGCCGAGTATGTCAGCAGCAATTCTCTGAAAACACAGGAAGACCTATGGAAGGAAAATAAATTGAATTTCAATGATTAAAAACAGACATCCTTGAGGTTCTTTCAAATATATCAAACCATTCCTGAACTGTAAATAATGATATACAAAATTATGACCTGTGCAAAACAGATCTGAAAAAAAACCTCATCTGGTACTTTCAATTTTGTTTAAAAATTTGAGAAAATAATTCAACAATGGTACAAGGAATGAACAGTATGCTGGATTGTTAAGCAACACTTCTACTTTGCCTCCAGAGACCTAAGTTTAAACAAGCTTTTACACAACCCACCTCTCAAATACTACTCTCGGTGCTATAAAATATGAATAAGGGTATTCACTAATGTTGAGCACAAAAATGTATTACCAGTGTATTGTGAAATAAGAGATGTAGGTTTCTGAAACTCAGAATAACAGAACTGTGCATCGACATCACCAAAATCCCTACTACATATGTCCAAAAAATAGCAGTATGAAAGAGTTCTGAAGAATCTTACAGAACATACACTGAAGAGAAGTATCTAGGAACAAGCAGGATGTTGTACAGCCTGCAGCAGCAGCCTGGCAGAGTTAGACTTTGGACACGGTTTAACACATAATACTGGGTGGCAATGCTGTTTTAAATAATTGCTTTAATTCATCTCAAGACAGTCCACCTATCTCACTGTTTAGGTAAAACTGCATTTTAAATGTCATTAAAGAATATGACATGTTCAAGAGGAGCAGCTTAAGTGTGCTGTGCTGCTAAACACTGTATTGCCAAGCTACAAATTACATTTCATCTTCAGGGCTGCTAACAACGTCTGAGCTCACTACCTAAATAACTAACAAATATTGGTTTGCATCATGCAGCTACCACCCACAAAAAAAAAAAAAAAAAAAATCTATGTACACGCTCACCGTCATTTTCAGTGAAAATTAAGAAAAATACAATTTACACAGTCTCTTCTAACATCCGAGATGGAAAACAGAAAAATTTAGTGGCACAACCAACAAAGTGTGGTTGCTTCCAAAACAATTGCTCTTTCTCTCAACTCCTTGGTGTAGTACTGGTCTGTTCTACCACCATCTACACAACAAGAAAGGGTACACTGAACAGAGATTCTGAGGCTCAGAGACCTAGTTGAACCCACATCAAGATCACAGGTGCTCTGAGCTACATCACCTGCCCTGAGGACACTGTGCAAAAAAACATCAAGCACAAGTGCAATGCTTCAGCTATGTGATTTGGTAGACAGTAACACAGTTAGTAATAATAAATCTTCCATGAAATTTTTTTGCCCCTGAGATGACTTTTGGAATTTTCTATACACACAAAATCATCTTTTGCAAATAGGTCTGTTGAAAAGATCTGACATAAACAAAACAAATCATTGAACTGAGTAAGACTCCTCTAGTCTATACTCACAGTAGCAACGCATGCCTTTTCTTAAATCACTGTCTAGGATAAACACTCCATCTTCTGAATGATCAGTGTGCAGCAGCAGTGAAAGGGATAATGCAAATTTATATTGAAACTAAAAATGAACTATTGAAACGACTTCTTTTGCTAGTATATATTTAGGCAGAGATTTCCCGTTAATGTTTTCTAGTCATGTTCAGATTTACTTTCGTTTTTAAACAGTAAGCTATGAAAAGTACAAATCAGTATATATAGTGGAATGCTGATGTAATTAATAACTTAACTAAAAAGCTGAAATAAAGATTCTGTCATAATTAGCAATGATAAATGTATCAATTATAACATGAACTGATTTTGGTGGTCTCCTTGAGAAAAGAATACATTTTATCAGATGCACATTTTACTAAGTGTAGTATAATTTTTTCTTCTGTTGCTAGCATAAAAAGGCTGTATTTTCACACTTAAAAAAATATGCCAAGGATTTAACACAAACTATAAAGAGAATCAGGACTCACTGCATTTGTAACAGCAGCATTGTTAGACTTTACAGAAAAACTATTATTTTACAAAATTAGGCAGCTCACTGCACAAGATTCATCTAAGACCTTAACAAGTGAATCCATTTGTGGACTATACATCCATTTACTTGACCATGGTCTTGCTATTCAATAACATTAAAAGAAAGTAAACTTTCTTGTCAACAGTAATATTAAGGAGACAGATACAAGACTGTTTTATGGGAATGACAAACTCATTAGGCATGAGACAGAAATCAAGCAAAACAATACAATGTGATTTAATTCGACTTAGAGTGTCAACTGAAAAAGAACCTTTTCTTTCATACACTTCCAACTAAAACAAATAACCCAGTTAGCTCAGAGTCAAAAGATTGTTCAAAAATGTACTCTGCAAAGCATCTGCTACAAAAGTCAGAATGTTCAAATTTCAATGGAGCTGCAAAGGGAATGTCTCTCATGGCTCAGGACTCATATTAAAATCTTTTATTGCAACAGGGTCTTGTCACATTATTTACCAATTGTTGGAAAATTCTATATTGATGGGTTGTAGATGGGACTCCACCTGGAATGAAGAAATATACTTAACTACAGGCTGACAGCAAACAGAGATTTAGCTGGTCTCAGTTTTCACGCTGATGTAAAAGTCAGATCATTTCCATTAAAATTTGTACCTCAAACTGAAAATCAGATGAGAAACCACTGTAATTTAATAAGAATAATACACATCCATAAAAGATCTACTTTTCATGCAACTAAGGGAGGCAAAAACGGGCCTGCAGCACTCAGAGTTCTCAACAGTTTATGTGAAGTATAACATAACTGCTGCATCTTGAAAAAAAACTACAAACATCTACAAGTTTGGGGTTTTTCCTTACTTACAGAATCTCCTGTCTTGGCTGACACAAAATGGCTACTGAAGTTGTTTTCCTGACAAAATCGCTGGTGCTTGTCAGCTTTCACTGTGCGAATATGTTCCAAGTCAACTAAAAATAAGTTGAAGAAATGAAAAATTATTACACTGGAGCCCATTTAGTTACTGGCCTTAGAAATTATTCACTGGAAACACATCAGATATAATACTTTCCTTTACAGGTATATTCAAATGCAAGTTTCTTTCTCTCTGTAATGATTTGCTAAAATAAAAGCAATTAATTACATCAGACTAATTTTATTTGCAAAACTGAAATGAAACCACAACTAAAATTTTATGGCCAAATGCAACAAATTCATATCTCAAAGTACAACTTTATTTCTGGATACATTCAAATATTTTGTAATAACTGCTGCTAGCTACATACAAGACAGAACTAATATTCCATATTCTGTTTGCAAGAAGGATGCATATTGGGGATTCCAGCGTAACCTGAAGACTTTTACAAAATAAATTCACCAGGCACATCTGAATCGACATATTTTTCCAAAGTAAAAATGTAAATAAGTTATAAAGAATTTTACTGCAGAACATGGCAAAGCAAAAACATTCACTATAATAAAAAAATTGACTGAGTAAAAGCAGTGATGCTTAGTTACTTACATATGAGACTTTCAATTCCACAAAGGTGTGGTTCAAAAAATTTTAAAAAGTAAAATTCACATTTCAAGACACACACATATTTTCATTTTTATCACTTTACAACCATTGGAAGCAGAGTAAAGTTTTCAAATGGTATTTTATGCTGAAAAGCACTGGTTGCTTCCAAAATCTCACAAAACTCAAGTCTTATGCATGTTTTATTGTGTACATTCCAGTTTCTCCAATCTGATCCTAAGGTAATTGGAAGCTATATTGAACAGTTTCTCTTTTTTTTATTGCATTACGGTTCCTATAAGGGTGTTGACTCAATGTAGTCAAATTATAAGGCAAATATATTCAGAAGGATTTAAGGACAAGCAAGCTCTTTGAGTTAATACAGGAAAAAAAAACTTCAACTGATTTCCTGAGGAAGGGACCCAACTGACTTGTAAAAACTTGTAAATTTGCAAATCTAGTAAGCCTGTATAATAGTGTTATTTGATTATCAGCTGAAAAAATGCTCTCCTACTACATAAAAGGCTTTATTTTTAAATGATATTGGAGGTCTTTAATTTGTAGGCTCTGGAGATTTTCTCTTGGAGATTTTTAGCCTAACAGGGGATTCCTACACCCCATTTATACTGCTTACCTTGGTTAATGTGGAGTTTTTGACACGTATTACTGTTCCTTGCACATCAGTAAGGCCTTGTTTGTAAGAACAGGCCTAAAATCATCCAGTTACCACAGACATTAATTTGTGAAGGACTAAAATACTAAGCTATTAACACTAATGTTTCTAGTATAGAAACATTCCATAATACTAAATGTCCACTATGTAATAAAGTTTCATTTAAAAAGGAAAGAACAAATACATTTACTAAAATAAAGCCCAAAGTCAATAACAATTTTGCTAAAAACATGCATTTAATTTTTCCTCTGAAAAATAACTACCAAGATAAAAGACATACTATTTTGAAATGCCTTTAAGAATAAAATACAGCATACTGCCTAAAACATTTCATTATTAACTATTATTTTTATGCTTCATATATTAGTTTTAAGTGCAGCTTGGAAAAAACAACAGTAAGAGTACTCTTTTGGGAAAAATAAAAATGTATTTTCTTTATTTTCATTTCATGAACTTTTAAAGGAACTTTAACCCCACCTCCAGATTTCACTCATATTTCTCTGATTATACCTGAACTCAAAAACCCTACACACACAATTACAATACAGCTAAATAAATAGATAGATAGACAGCATTTACATTATATTCCTTTAAAATACCACAACATGCTTACATAAATACATAAAAACAAGTTCACTAGTTACATTCACTCTCAAACTCTCCCAGGAAGGAAAGAATACAGAGTGTACAAAGAAAACAACAGGCTAAAAGGTTGATGGATTTCCAGGAAAAAAATGCCACAGGCATATTGGAAATCATCCTCAAATGCCTCTTATTTCCTATGAAGAAACATCAATAATAATATATGGTCAGTAGAGTATATACTTTACTACAGAAATTGAAGCCCACAAGATCAAAGAAACAAACAGATTGAAAGTGAAAAATCAAGGTGTAATTATGTTTTCAAACTTTGTGTACTTCTCAGTCCTTCTCCCCAGTCACAAGTACTTCACTTTCTGCCTCCTGAATTTCAGGCTGTCTGCTCTGAACTGTACAGGCATTGTCATGCCAAGGAACTGCCAGGTGACAGTCCATGTGTGCATTCAGAGGCCACAGAAAATGCCACGTGATTCATGTTACATTAGTTCGTGGTGAAAAAGGGCACATTTTTAGTACAATAAGAGTTTCAAGAGTTAATAAATATTTAACTACCCAAAACTGGAGTTTGGAGTCAATGAAGGGCAGTGATCCTAAATCCAATTCCTTTGCATTGCCCACGGGCCAAGGGCATAATTGTAGAGTTACTGAAGATCAGCTAAAGACAGTGAACAGTTACCCTCCAGTCCTTTTTCTTTAACATCTGACACTGGTCAGCTCAACAGGCAGAATTCTTAGCACACCAGGAGATAAGTCTTGTCCAGCTTTTATTTAGACATCACAGCAAAAAGACTTTAGGGAGAGCTTTGGAGGAGAAAAATTATTTTCTAAAAAAGATGTTTATAAGGAATGCAGAGACTTTATAGACAGAAAACTAACAGCTGGCTAATGTGGGCTCATATGATGAGCCAATTAACAGCAGGAATAGGTGTCTTGGGATGAAGAATGATACGAGAATGCACTTAAGCCATGAAAAGTTTAACAGCAAAGACAAATAAGTTTTGGATAGAAAGAAAGCGAGTAAGATACATAAATACCGTTTGATTTTATAAACCAGGCAAATGATCTTGCAGAATATTCTAAATGACTAGATAACACAGCAATGGCCAAGAAAAAGGAATTATTGAAATTTAGATACAAAATGAGAACATTTTAACTCTGGTAATGGCTATGCTAGGCCATATCTAACAAAGGTCTCAAAGAAGGAATCTGCAAGATTTGGCCACACATCAAACACAAACATTTAGAGAAAGGCCCAAAGCGAAGTTTACGTGCCAGATGGTACAGTCATCCTCTTCATCTTTAGGGAATGAGAAAGAGGGTAACAGCAGGGCAAAATTAATAGCTTCATTTTTACCAAGTAGAATATAAACTGATGGCTAGAAATTCACAATGGGATGAATAAAGGAGACAAAAGGACACAAGACACAAGTTTGAAAAGTAGAAAGAGATTTAACTATTTGCCAACAGTGACACTCTACAGCACACAAATGTTACAAACCAGTATTTTTGGTCAAGGGCTTGAATACAAACTCTCCTGAAGTATGTTTTCTGATCAGGAAAAGCTAAGGGAAGCCCAATACATGTAAATATTGGAGAATGCAGTGTGGGTATTTCTTTGATCTATCATTTCAAAAATTCTGAATGTCTTAAAAATGGGATCAACAGGCAGAAAGGGCTACTAAAAGTATACATTATGAAAGCAATAGATAAAATGTCAAAGAAGTACATTGCTAATTCCCTGGTTAGAATGGAACCACTTAATATATTTGCATTAAATGGAATACTTATATGAAAACTTGTATCAAGAGAAGCAGAGGGACATCATGAGCAATGGGGGAAGGAGAGTGAGATAGTATTGTTCCCCTGACTAACCTGATCAGGACAGGAAAAGGGGGCTCATCAGCTCCAAAGTATATTCAAAGTCCTTTTCAAAGAAAAGGCATCCACAATATAGGCTGTTGCAGTTTTGCTCACTTTTATGCCTGAAATACACACTAAAAGCCTCAAGTGACAACAACAAAAAAAATACATGGCTTCCAGATATCCTCCAAAATTTATCTCCATTGCCTTGCTTATGCTCTAAAGAGTCCATCTTGTTGATTCTCTAAAATAAGACTAAACATTCATCTTTAAGCTTTTTAGTATGAAGAGTCACTTCAATTACACTAGCAAGACAGACTGCTGTTCCATAACAGGTTGATTCACATCTATATGTACAGGTATATCATAAAGATACCAGAACAACAAAAACAGATTAGAAACTTTGGGAATTCAGATGCAGCTCTCAGCAAGGCAAACAGATCCAATGAAAATCTCCCTTTAAAAATTGAGCAAGCATAGATCAACGTCTGCTGTTGCAAAAGTAGGTAAGACTTACTAAAATGCTTGCTTCTCATGAATTCCAGGGAGTTGCATTTTGATTTATAGGTGAGATTAAACAGAGATCTAGTGAGGTGAAAAGAGAAAACAGAATCTAGGAGGAAAGTATTGAACTCCCACATAAATCCCAAGGATACTCCCTCTAAGGCATTCCTGAAGACTTATTGGAAGAAAACCAACTCTATCCCAGCCAAAACCAGCACAGAAAGAAAAAAAAAGGAAAAAAAAAAAGAACACAAAAAAACACCTGTAAGAACAACACTGCAAGTGACATTTCAAAGAAGGACAAAGAAGTAAGATTAAGTTATAACCAGAGAGACTTGATTAAGTTACATCTTCAGGTGATCTATAAAAGGATTTTCAAATTGCTATTATACATCAATTATTCGCAGTGAAAATCTCACGGACAATGCTAAATCAAAATGGAAAAGGAAACCATAATTTAAAATACTGCAAGGCAAGATATCTATCCTATGATTTAAAAATTCTGAGGAAACACTCAAGACAGCATAAATTATTCTTCAAAGTCAAAAGCCTATATGAATTTACTTGAGAAATTAAGAGTAAGTCAGTGAAATTTTAGTGTATTGGGCTGTGGCAAGGGAATGGAAAAACCTTTAGAAGTACGAGATAAAACACAAATTAGTGCTTTACAGTCTACCCACACCCAGCCATCCAACAACAATTACATCTTGACTGAATAGTTCTGCTGCTTTTGGCTCTGAAACCACTAATGGTAAATAAATTAATGTCAAAATTGTTTCTCTTCCACTATTTAGATGCTTGTGTCACTCCATAAGTTA